GTCGGTTACAGCGCCAGAGATGCCGACGCGCCCCCGCCCCTGCCGCCGGGCTTTGGGCGCAGCCGGGGTTCGGCGCCAGGCGTGGCTGCAGCGGGCCACTGCGATGAGGAAGCTGACGACGGCCGCGGGCGCGGCCGCAGCCCCAGCCGTGCGTACGGCCGCCAAAGCCGCGGCGGCGGGGACGAAGTCGGCCACATGGGTGCAAGCAGCAGCCCCGACGGCGCCGAGCGCGACCGCCGGACCGCTCACGGCCCAGGCCCAGACGCTCGCGGGCGCATCAAGAGCCCCAGCCGCGCCATGCGCCGCAGCGCAAGCAGGGACCGCGGCCGAAGCAGCCACGAGGCGCGGACGCGCGAGCGCGCCGACGGCGACAGCGATGGCAACATGGCGTATGAGCAGGACAGGGGGTCCGGCCGCCGGCCGCTGGACGCGCGGCGGCCGCGTAGCGCGGGCGGCGGGGGTGGGGCTGGCCGGGGCGGCGGCGATGAGTCGAGCGGGGGCGGTGAACGCGAGGGCAAGACGCGGGCTCACAAGCTGCCTCGCAGGGAGGACTCTGTGCCGCAGCAGCAGGAGGGGCACGAGCGGCACGAAGACGAGGGCCATGCGCATCCCCCGCAGCAGGAGCAGCAGCAGGAGCAGCAGCAGGAGCAGGAGCAGCAGCAGCAGCAGCAGCCCTCTTTCGAGGACCTCGCGTGGCTGACAGACCAAAACCCCACCTCAGGGGTGAATCACCTGCTGGACATCAGCGAGGCGTGGCGCGGGCCCCTGCCCCCGCCCCCCGGGCTGCTGGACGCCGTCACTGCCAGGCAGCTGCGCGGCCAGCTCCGGGCGAGAGCAGAGCGGGTCGATCTGAAGAGCTTTGATGAGGCCCGGCGGCGCTTTGCAAACAGCTCAGTCGAGGTTGTGCTCGAGGTCGAGGTGAATCACAAAGAGCAGGGCCCCAGTGTGCAGGCTGAGCTTGTCAACGGCGGCCCCAACGTGCGGCTTAGGCTGGCTGGTCGGCTCAGCATGTGGTCTCTGTACAAGTTCAAGCTCAACACCATCCTGCAGGTGCGCGTTTCAAGCTCCACCACATCATGCGCTTAAACCGCTGGTGTCCTGATAAGCCTTCAGCTGCACGCTGCCTTCGTTGCTGGCGCGCAGCCGCCCGCCATCCGCGGCGACAAGATTGCCGGCTAACTCACTCAATGCATGCCCGGGCTCCCACCACCACTGCCAGGGGCGGATGGTCAGCGTCGCGACAATGTGCACCACAAGGAGTGGCGCGAAGCACCTGGCGTGCTTGTACCTTTTGCAGCATATGTATAGCCCCGCCAAGATCCGCAACTCCGGCCTGCGCGAGTACATCCCTCCTCCGGACCTGGGGCGCTCTGATGACAGCGTAGTCGTCAGCCACATGGGCCAGGCGATGGGGGGCGCACGCCTGGGCCTGGCGCCTGCAGCGGCGCCTGCTCACCAGCAGCAGCCGCCGCAGCCGCAGCAGCAGCAGCCGCAGCAGCAGCAGCAGCAGCAGCAGCAGCAGCAGCAGCAGCAGCAGCAGCAGCAGCAGCAGCAGCAGCAGGGTGCACTTTGGAAGGGCGCGGTTGGTGAGGACAATATTCTAATGGAGGACGTGGGCAGTGTTTGACATCCGACTGGCAGCTGCACGGCAGGGTCTTGGGATCGGGGAAAGAGTGATGTGACCACATGCATCGCATTGTCGCAGGGATTGGTGTAACTTCGAGCTGGCCGTTTCAGGTTGGCCCCCATCAAGGTGGCTGGATGCTCGGACAAAGATCAGGGATCTCTCTCAGACACGCACCACCATGCAGACGTGTTGGCGGGGGATTGGGGGTAACTCTCGTCGCCCTCCTCTCCCCCCCTCCCTCCGCTTGCAAGTTGGAATGGGGGGTGTGCGGGTCGGTGGGGTGGGGAGGGCGCGCCAGTGGCGGGGCGCATCGGGGCCGGCGGGAAGCGCAAATAGGTTGCGTGGGGTGTTTGGTTGCGTCGGGCAGGGTCCCCAGTCTAGCCCTCGCCCGCCCCCGGCTTGAAAATTGTGTGCAGCGTGAATTGCGTACACAAAGCAGCACACGACACTTGCAAGGGTCCCAATATCATACAGGATGCGACAAATCAGCGTTGACAAACCCGTAGGTCTGCTGGGATTAGCTTGTTGTGATGATGTGCTTGTTGTGATGATGCCAGCAGCAGAGCACCAGTCCCGCTGGTCTTCGCAGTCAAAGATTGGCAGCCCCGTTTGGCCCGCAGTATTAAAACCGGCAGTATGGCAACTGATTATACAAATTAAATTGTTCGATTAACTTGCGATATTCGTGATTGGCTTCGTGTGCCTGAGAACCGCCCTTGCCAGCTCTGCCTCAGCGCAGCCTCGTCTCGTAGCGACACCATACGACATGGAGATATATTTGATGACTAAATTGAAAACATCACGCCCGAGCATGCATCGTGGTGCTGGTGTGCTCCTTGCGCAGGTCCGTGCTCGCATGCTGTGTTGCGGACGGCAAATACGGTAACCCCGTGTGGTGTGCAGCTGAGTGATGCAGCATCGCGTGTGAAGATATCTGCTGGATGCCTTGAACAGATGCACTGCTCGGGAAAGGGGATGCTGCTGTGCTGTGCGGCGTTGCAGCACCCCGTTGTTGCGCGCCTGCTGTGCCGTGGCACGCCACTTGCGCTTGTTTTCGCAGGCTCGTCACCCCCCTGCTGATCCAGCAGAACACCCGCGGGGCGGCTCATTTGTGTGCGGACCTGGACTCAGCCGCTGCACACGGGCACTCGGTGAGCTGAGCTGCCGGGCCGTCCCAAAGAGGCAAACGGGGAGGGCGCGGGCGCCCCCCCCCCCCAGCAGCAGCAGCAG